TTGACGACTTATAGTCATGAATTCGGTACTTCAGCCCTCGCCTTGAAAAACCGTGTACGTGGGGTTCGTCACTCCCCCATTATATGGATTTTGAAGTATTGCATATTCCCAGCAGCCGTGGTCACAATGCGCGGAGTAGGGACTACAGTTTGGTCGTGTATTCTGTGGGCTGTATATATAATGCCACCGGTCTCTGTCCGGCGTGTTGGGCAGCCACAACCTTGTAAGTGTGCAGTGGGGTGTGGTCAAGAAGTGGTTGGACCGACGTCGCACATCGAGGCGACCACGCAGTAAAGAGATTGTGGTCCAATAGAGCATAGCAAGAATGGCGCCAGCTGAGCACCTACCCTATACAGGCAGCGAGAAGTGAGTCCCTCTTCTCCACTGGTAGTCATGGTGTAGCAGTGTATATGCCCCGTGGTCTGCTCACGCGGCTCTATTCCATCGTTCTCAGCGCGCGAGAAACTGGAAGTGGGAGTATGGCCTCACTCGAAGAGTGAGTGGACCCTGGAAGGTTCGGTCACACTCTGTGCATGGCACAAAAGGCTTGTTGTATGTGGATTATGGTCCATCCCTAACACAGTGCGTGGCAAATGGAAGTATTGTCGATTGAGTTTTGGTTCAACCATCATGCCCATACATTGAAGTTGCATGAGACTTTTGTTGCAACGCACATGGCTGTTGGTGTTAGTCTTAGCTTCCCCTGCTAAACGCTCGCTCAGTTTTATGCTGCTGCTGACTCTTAGCTCTGCGCTTGACTACCGGCGTTTACCTCATGCGTCCTGGCACACGATGGCTCGGCATACTCGGCAAACGGCTAATGACGTAGTAGTTAGGGTGGAACGAGAGAGTATAAGGGAGGGAGGAAGGGATTGCAAATATTATATGGTGGTGTCCACATTACGATCACAGTATAAAAACTGAAGGTGTACTAGTGCAAATCAGTTCCCCAATCCACACAACTGTTTTTCCTTCATTGACTCCTGTCCTCTGGTTCCTGTTTGCCTGCCTTGTCTTCCTGCCATGGTACCTCTTCCCCTGACTCTACAGTACAGTTGTGTACCTGTACCTCTGGTGGCTTGCCTGACATGCCAATGGGATAGGGAACTGCATTCGTGGTGTGGTAATCCGATATGTGCCATTCCAATCAGCAAACTGTAGGGTTTCATTACCAAACCACCAGTGGATATTGAGTTAGTCACTCTCTATTCTCCCACTCACATTCCTCTTTTATACTACCTCCTGTATACAGCTTTTCTCCTCTCCCCTCTCCCTCTCCCCTCTCCCCTCTCCCCTCTCCCTCCCTATCCAGTGGAAGCCAGATACTCTGTCCCCAGATACCTATTTTGTTCTAGGAGTTAATGTGAACAAGTAAGTCACGAAGCTCCTCTCTAGCTAGCTAGGCACAGATCTCATGTCTAACTATACAATATTATAGTTGGAGCATAAGGTTAGTAAGTCACAAAGCTGCTGTGTAGCTCCAGAGGCAATGGTAGGGCTGTGGATCTCATGTCCAACAATAGTGGGTGGGAGAGGCTGGTGGACTGAGTCATGTCCGTCAGGGGAGTGGGAGGGGGAGACCAGTCAGAGGGAGAGCCTGGCGTGTCCTGCTAACATCATTAAACTCCACATCCTACTTCCCCACAGCCTCTGCCAGTATTCCATTAGTTTTCCACTAAATGCAGTAATTTGTTTCGGATTGATTCAGTGTTTTAGTGGAATTGGTACCCCTAATCTGGTTGGTGTCATTCCACAGGGCCCTAGGCCACGGAGCCAACAGGGGGAAAGTTTACTACCTTCATCCCGAGCTTTTCAAGGTTAGCGTCCTATCGGAACTTGGCACACATTCTCTACACCTCTCTGTCTGCAGTATGCATGTGACGGAGATGACAAAACCTGGCTCTATGAAAACAAGCTTCTGCCTGTACACGGAGGGAAGGTATATATATGGCTCAACAGTTCCCTGTAGGGTTATGTAATTATGATGTCATAACTCAGGCATTTCTGATGATACTGAAAGAAGTGAAATTCCTAGTGGGGTCGGAAGAATGCTACAGGTAATCTTGGCAGCAGTTTCGGTGCTGTTTGTGTTTTCACTGAAAACATGTCAAGTTTTGCTCTCTTGCCTTTTTGGGGTGCCAGGGCACCAACTGATCCCTCTATCTCCACCTGCAGGAATAATAAGGAGATTCTGAATGCAGTTGTAAAACTCCAAGAGTTTCAGGTCCCGCAGTTTATGCTGGACAAAATGAAGACATTCATGCGCTCTGTTCAAGGTTAACTCGTGTGTTGGTCTTTTCAAGGCCATTGAATAGTGGGCAGATGTAGTAGGACCCAGACAAAGACAGAGCGTTAGGAGCCATCTGCTCACGCCACATGTGCTGGCTCTCACTGCACCCCTGTTTGGACCACTGTCCATGACTTACACCACAGCTCCCTGCCAAGTCCTGTCACATGTAACTTCCCCTCTTATGGCCCCACCCTCTCTCCCTCTCTCTGCTGCAGGCTACTTTGCTCAAGAGGCGTCCTCCGCCTCCTCTTCTGCTCAAACAGTCTCCAACTCGCAGGACAGTTCCACCAGTGACGCAGCCACACAGAACTCTTAGCACTCTCCCTCCCTCACAGGGGGCCTGTCATTATTATTCACCTATCATCTCACCACTGGTCTCTTGTTTTGTGTTCATTCATTTGAAGAGCACCATTCTCTGTACATAGCCTCACTGCATGTGTTTGTATCACACCTCATTCAGTCCCCATTAGCTAGTCTATTCATGTATTTTTACAATAAAACTGTGACACTTCACACAAGTTTTGTCATTGAAAATCATGTATTTTACGGATCACAGAGTGCAAAGTGATTATGTGTACAGTTTAGTATGGCAATGAACGGATAATCTTATAAACGTCCCATATATAATATATAGAAAAACGGTTGAATGATAGAATTATAAAACATGAATAATGGGCTGTAGTTTCTCATTGATTGGTGGGTGGGGTCAGTTACGTGCATCGGCATGACAACACAGTGACGTGTGATAATTCCTCAATGAAAAGTTCTCCATCTTTCCGAACCAACACCTCCAGAGGCTTGTACTGGTTGCCAGTACAACAGGGCTCCACGGAGCTGCCCGGGTTGGTCTCCGGAAGTCGACTGAACAACTCAAAGATACGAGGAGTCATGAGTTGCCCCCCCATTATCTCGGGACACACCCCCTCGCAGTAATTGGCGGTGAAATTCTCAGGGAGAAGAATGAACGACAGGCCGAGGTCGTCGTGGAAGTTGAGTTGAAAGTTCTTCAGGCAGCAGGTCGACTGGTTGGCACTGCACTTCCCCACGCCCGTCAGCTCGTCTGCGTTCCTCCGCTTCCTCTCCTGATGTTGGACATCCAGAGGGTTCTTTGAGACCGTGATTATCCGTGGAGCCTTGTCCTGCTCGGCCTGTGACGAGAAGAAGGACACACTGGCAGGGAGACAGGTCACCCCCGTCCGGCTGACTGCAGTTGGGAGAACTGTAGCAGTAGACATTGACCTCCATCGTGACGGGACCCTCGATGCGGCGAGCAATCCACAACTTTACGGCCGACGTAATCTCAAACACTTGATAGCCAGTCTCATAGATGTCGATGTATTTCCCCTCCACGATGAATTTCTGGCTGAGTGACTCGAGGACGGTCCTAATCTCTACGTACTGCCTGCGGTCCTTGACAACTGTGTCTGGAGTCACAGAGTTCTGTTGGTAGAGGAGGAGATCGGCTCGGGACACGTCAGTCAGTGTGGAGGGCAGGGAGAAGTTGAACGTTATGGAGTAACTGTGCAGGAGGTTGTTGGTGTGTGGGACGGCCTCTGCTTCTTCCCGTCTCATCCGCCCACCCCCAAATAACTCTGTGTGTGGAGAGATAATGTATACAAGGTCAATTCCCACTGCATGCATAATAGCTTGTGTTAGTAGGAGGGGGCAGGGGTACATGGGCTCCAGGATATTGTGACTGGAGAGAGCAGTGGCCTACAGCTGGGAACACATGCTGAGTCCCAACTCCAGACAAATGGCCATTGCAGCCTAACACCTGCGTGTTTACCTCCAATCCAACACTGGCAACAGATAATATGCTGACAAGATAGAGACCTACTTTAGTGCCTAAATCAACTTTAGCTGCGGCTATATCTATGCACAGTGCACATCATGTAAATATGACTGCCGTTTGTACGCACCGTCAGACATAAAACCGACGAAAGAGGAGACTGGCTTGGCGTAGAAATCGTCCGAGTGACAGCGTGTCTCTTTCTCTCGCTCGAGACTGGCGCTGGCGCTCCGCAGCGCGTTGAACGTCTCCTTCATCTCCTCCTCGCCCGGCAGCGGCTCCGTGTTGTTCGCGGGGGAAGGGTCGCTCACCCCCAGCTGCGCCAGAATGCTGTTTCTCAACGTCTGCATTCTCCGCTGCTTCATCAGCTCAGCGTTGTTCAACTGACACGAATTGGAGGAGTTGACTGCGCCAAACCACATGGCCACCAGGAGCCAGTACAGCGAGTGCCGAAACCAGGACATTCTCTCTTCTAGCTCTACTCTTGAACAGATTGGGCTAATTTGCATGCCCGTTGAGGCTAGAGATAATCCTTTTATACTGTGATCGCCCATGCGCGCGCGGCCGATTGCCGGGAAATCCCCTTCCGGTCCGGACATCCTCCTCTCTCGCTGTTGCCAATGGGTGCCGGTTGTTCTTTCCGCTTGCCTGACACCCAACTGATTCACTTGCAGGAATTTATCCCCAAAAACGTTGACGTGAGGGGAAATAATCTGAATCACTAATGATGGAAGAGGAGGGAGGGGTGTTGGGGAATGGCAGAGAGGCCTCGGGAGTGAGGGGAGACCTCCCAAAGAAGGTGGCAGAGTACGAGAGGTTTCTCAACAACAGACTCAAGACAGACCTGCAGACTCTGCTGGACAGTCGGGACTTGGTGTACGCTGACATTGCAGAGTACCTCCAGCTGCAGCGGGTCCTGGAGAGACTGGATGCAGGGACAGAGAGAAAGGGAGTCCTCAAGACTATGGTGGACCTCGGCTGCAACTTCTATTCCCAGGCTCTGGTGCCAGACCCACAGCACATGTGTGTGGCGGTTGGGTTTGGGGTGTTTGTCGAACTCACTCGCTCTGAGGCTCTGCAGTTCATCGAGAAGAAGGTGGCAGGGCTCAACAAGAAAGCTGAGGAGCTGACAGCACAGGCCTGCCAGGTGAAGGCCAGGATTAGGATCGTTGTTGAGGGGCTAAGAGAACTACAGTTTGCTGACCTACCCACCTCCCCTCCCCATAGACCTGTCTGGTGATGATGTCACCCACCAACCAATCACATTACATCATCACTGCATCATATATTGCAGTGTCTATGCATATATACTCACTAACACTTGTCACACAGTCTGTGAACATGGTTCTTTTTCAGAAGATAATTTCACTCACACACCTTACAATAGAGGACACACATTTGGTGAATGACCTACACTCTGTGCCTATACAAAAGTGACAACCTACAAAGAACAGAACATGAGACACAGTAGACCCTACTGGAAGCTGGCCTTCGTTGCCTGAATTATACCAACTATAACTCCAAACAGTCCAATGGCACTGGCGAAAATCTCGATGATGAGGATCTTCACAAAGAGCGCGGGATTCTGGGCGTCTGCAAGAGCAGCTCCGCTCCCCACCAGACCCACAGACAAACCACAAGCAATGTTAGTTAACCCGACACTCAGTCCGGCACCGAACAGAGAGTATCCTGCAAAGGTCGCAGACTTTGAGTAGGTTCCATAGTCTGAGTATAGGGAGTCGTCTCCGACCGACTTGAGCCTCTGAACCAGAATAATGGCTATGATGATCCCGTAGATGGCGACGGCCTCGCAGAAGATGATGCTGATGAGATTACGGGTCTTGATCCGGGGAGCCTTCACCCCGCCCCCAATGATGCTGACCCCAGTGAGGAAGATCCCCCAAGCAGCTCCAATGATGGAGAGCGAGACAGAGAGACCAGCTCCCACACCTGCCCACATGTAGGGACTCGTGCTCTGCAGGAACCAGCCGATATCCACCTGGCTACCGAGCCCCACCAGGTTATAGTAGAGAGCCACGCAGATTATGGCGACGATCGCCGTGTAGTAGACGATCTGATGGTGGACTCGGCACAACATCCTGCAGGAAGAAGGGACGGAGGGCGCCTGGTACTACAGTCCACAGTGACTGCAGGTACTGCACTCACCTTTCACTGCAGCGACGGACGGCAGAACAGAGCTGGAAAAGACAGAACACCCGACGATTGCGCGGAGAATTACCTGGTCACATGTCTTGGTCACGTGATATAAACATAAAAGAGGCGTGGCCATTTGGTCAGAACGGAGACGGAGAGGAGGCGCGGAGAGGAGAAGATGGAAGCTTTTTCAGAGGAGCAGAGAGCTAATGCCACAAAGTTCTTTCAGTCATTCCTGTCGCAGAGGTCCGAGGAAGACAGCACTCTGTTGACGGTGGCGCGGCCGTGCTTTACGCTCGAGGAGCTGGAGGGAGAATGTCTCCACGTCGCCAGGCGATTTCTCTCCGCGAGGTAAGTGAGACGCTGTCTCCGGTTATAGACGTGTTTTACGACACAAGTACTTCTCTCTCTCGTCTCCCAGGGGTTGTCCGGGCATTCTCTCGTATCACGTGTCTAACCACGCAGTCCAGAAGGTGGCAACAGGTAACGTGGACGACCTCTGGAAGAAGGAGCCAGTGGAAGGAGACGAGGAGGAGGGAAGAGAGGGAGAGAGAGTCTTGTCGCCAACAGCAGTCGCTACTGCATTGTTAGATGCCATAGAGGAGGTGTGTCGGTCTTGGGCTGAGGTGCTGCCCCAGCTTACCCAGGTTCCGGGAAGCATAGAGTTGAGCTTACACGCCATCAAAAACACCCGGAGGAAGATGGAAGACAGACATGCAGTCTGCGTCGATATCAACAGTCTGTTTGGCCTCCAGGTGTGCATGTGTGTTTACTTACCTACTATATGAGCATCTATGATAGACATTGATCAATGGGAACATGCAGCGTCTGTGATAGTGTTACTATGAATGGAAATGCATGCAGGTGTGTTGATATCTGGAAACGCACAACACTCACCGAATGTGTATTTAATGAAACTAGTGACAATACTTGAACTTGGCAGTGCAGAGTGTGTGTTGTCTTGTGTTGCTGATGTAACTCCCCCCAGGACTGCCCTCCTCAGTCCTACTACGCAGTGTTTGATGGTCATGTGGCAGTAGATGCTGCAGACTATGCCTCAGTGCACCTCTTACCCAATGTTGTGAGACATCCTGACTTCCACACTGATCCAGCCAGTGCCCTCAGAGGAGGCATTCTCACCACTGACCAGCGGTTCTGCAAGCTTGTGAGCACTTTTCCAAACTCTCCCTTTCTACACGTCTTCCACCTACCTTATTACTTTACCTTCTCAATTTGTGACCTACTTTTTAATGAAAGGCAGTAAAGTGCAAACCCTCGGCACACTGTATAGAAATGTGGAACCCATACACAAGTGTGGCACCACCACAATTGATGGTCTTGACCATACATCAAAAAGAACAGCACTATTTCCATGGATTATTTTCGATAGGTTGAAAAAATGGCCTGCCCCATTTCTGTTTGAGGGCCAAAAAATATATAAGGTTGAAAAATTGCCAACCTTTCATCTCTCTATTAATCTTCGTATTACCTGTGGATTGTTTAGTGCAAACCCAAAAAAGTTAAAAAACCCAAGGCTGAAAATTTTTTTTTCAAAAACGCCTCTCTCCAGACAGACGTCTACGGACGCAGTGCTATGCCGAACTATACGCTGCCCTTTGAGAAACGTGGGTCAGTGGTAGATTTGTGGGTAAGGGGAGGTACCAGAGCTGTTCCCAGCCAATGCTCTGGACCACCTGACACTTTAGTGCGGATCGAGGACAGCCAACACTCCTATTACATCATTGTAAAAAATGCGCACACGTACCCGGGATCGAACCAGGGACCTCACGATCAAGAGAGGGGGTGCTTATCGGACCACCACCATTACTTGAATGGGAACAGTGTAAAATGAAAAGCACTAAAGTGCAAACCCTCGGCGAAGTACCTCGCAGAGAGTCTGACACGGGCTAGCTAGCTACAGTAGTAGATAGCACGCGAGAGTCGATACACGCCATTCGTTGTGACTTCTTGTGCCTTCAAGATAGACAGCAAGCGGACCCGGTTGAGGTAAGCCTGTGCTAAATATAAGCGCATGCGCATTAACCGCCAGCGATAAAATGGCGACTACCGGCATTTGCCATACAATGCTGGAAGCGCTCTAGCTTTGCAACGGAGCAGTTTCAGAGAAAACTGTTCGAAATTTCTGACCTTCATTGCCCGTTAAGTAGGTCGTATCCTTTGTGAGACGAACAAACACCCGAGAAGTGAGATTGAGAGTAACAGACAGACACACACACAGACAAACCCAACTACAGTAACCCTCGCTGCGCATGCGCGCCGAGGGTTAACAAGCAAGTGGGGGAAAGGACAAGGCAGTAAACCTCCCTGTATACTCTAGCTACATATAGTGTGCAGTGAAAATATTCCAAAAAACGTGCTACGACCTTCTCCACTGCGGTACTTACACCCTGCAACTCCTCTTCAATCCCCAGAACCAGAAAGCAGGGAGCACAGCAGTGGTGGCCCTCCTGCGAGGCAGCACCCTCCACGTGGCGTGGGTAGGCGACTCCCAGGCCATGTTGTTCCGCAGGGGACAGGGGGTGGAGCTTGTCAACCCTCACAAACCTGACAGAGAGGTACATATATACCCTCCTTGTTGATATCTTCTTACTTGGACAGAGTAAAGCTGACACTCAGTATTGGGTAAATCAGATGGTAAACTCTCCCTCCCTCCTTTCACTCTTATTGAAGAGAGGGCGAAATCCCCAAACCAAAACCAGAGGATCGTTGTTGTCAAACATTCTAGTCTCCAAAATGCTGTATTTGTCCTTCCGGTCCAATTGGCACGCAACTGTTCGCTTTGAGTTCTGCTGCTCTAGTATTATATATAGGCCAAGCTGACTGATTTGCAAATTCTCTTAGAAGATATCAGGTGAGGAAATGTGATGACAAGGAACTCGGGAACTGGAGAAAAGAACAGCATTTGATTTTTGTTACAGAATATTACGTCCTACATCAGTGAGTCTTTCTCTGCCATCGTCCAGGATGAGAGGGAGAGGATAGAGGAGCTGGGGGGAATGGTGATCTGGCTGGGGGCGTGGCGGGTCAACGGGAGCCTCTCTGTGTCCAGAGCCATCGGAGATGCCAGGGACAAGAAGTTTATCACTGCTGACGCTGACACTGTTAGTATGGAACACTATATAATATGTGCCTCATTAGTTGGGAAACTTTTACCAACTGTCTGTTCTCCCACAAAGGTTGAAACGTTACCCACTAGAGAATCACCATTCATGGATTAAACTTTAAAACACTGCTCTCCCTCCTCCAGAACACGGTGGAGCTGGATGGAACAGAGGATTTCCTGGTGGTGGCCTGTGACGGAGTGTGGGACGTCCTGAATGCAGAGGAGATGAGTGAGGAAGTCTGGAAATACTTCTCCAGTGGTGGGAGCAAACAGACTTTTGCCAAGGCTCTGGTTGAAGCTGCTCGGAGAGAGGGATCTGGGGACAATATGACTGTCATCGTCTTCTTCTTCCCCACCTTCCAACTGCCAACCGGTCCTCCCAGCAAGACGTCTGCAGACGAGACTGGAGACGGCAACACTGACACTACTAGTCAGCAGATGGCTGATGCTGCTGAGCCTGGGGGAGGCACTAATTAGAGTTTATAGGAATTATTTCCACTTTTTCCTGATTATGTGTGTGTACAGAGATGAAGTGGTTGTGTAATTTATGGCGATTTGATTGTAGATGAAGTGGCGGCTATAATATATGCTACTTTGTGAGTGTCTGGTTGAGTCTCTCAATGTCCAGGAGACAGTCTCTGAGAGCTGTTCTGGCCAGAGCTATATCTGTATATAGAATAGAGAAAATGAGGACTGTCAACTGTGCAGGAGACTCACTTCTCTTGAGTCGGTCTGCAGACATCTTGCTGTTGGTGTAGGATGGCTTCACGTCCTTCCCCACCTCTGCAATGGTTCTCAGCAGCTCGTCGTTGTGGGTCTGCAGGTTGTGGACGACCGGGGGAGCCAGTGCGGGGACTCCTACCTCACCTGAACAAAAACAATCTGGTTTTAGGCGCCTGATTTAGGGTGTATATACCTCCTCCAGCCTGCTTGATTGCGCCGTCCTTCCCTTCTGAAGCTACACCAGAGGCTTGTGATGTGGAGGAACCGCTGGATGGAGGCTCCTGGACCACAGACACTGCTGTACCACCAGTAGACATTTTCCACGGACTCAAAGAGGGAGAGGGGAATACGCAACCAAAACCACGCCCCCAAAGAGGAAGCGAAAAAATCAGCTAGCCACGCCCCCTGCTGACGACAGCAAAATGTACAGACCTTTGCAGATCTTCAATTCTACCTCAGTTCTCCAGCCGCCAGCATGTCTGGTGATCCTGAACAGAGACCTGAGAGGACTGGAGACTGTCATGACGAAACCACTGGAGCAAGTTCTCCGTGGTTCTCTGCGCGGACGGCGGCGCGAACAGACTGTTCGACAGTGTTCGCGAGAGAGAGAAGCTAGTTCCCCACACAATATGCGGCGACTTTGACTCTGCACGACTAGCCGTCCTGCAATACTACCAGCAGAGAGGGTCCCGTGTCGTGAAGGTGGAAGATCAGGACACCACAGACTTCGACAAAGCCATGAGACAAGCATTGGATCTGAGGCGAAAAGGAGATGTCGCATTCTCCAGTATTTATGCAATGAACGCTCTTGGAGGGAGGTTTGACCAGACTCTTGGGAACCTGCAGACTCTGTTTATGTTCCAGACAGATCTGGAGGGTACTCCTCTCTACCTTCTCTCAGAGACCTCTATTGCAGTCCTCCTGTCTGCTGGAGAGAGTGTTGTGTCAGTCGACTCTGGACTGGAGCGAGTGGAGTGTGGTCTCCTGCCTTTAGGAGAGAGCTGTGGCAGCTGTTCCACCTCTGGCCTTCGCTGGAACCTCTCCAGTCAGGCCATGAGGTTTGGAGGTCTAGTCAGCACCTCAAACCAACTGCTGCCTGCTCGACCTCCTGTACACATCACCGCCTCATCCCCCCTCCTTTGGACGATGTCACACTCTCTGTGAGACTGACTAGTTTTACCAATCTCTCTGGGAAACAAATCACACATGAAAGATTGACTGGTGTACAATGAACGGATGCTATCTGGTCTGTTGCGGGGGGTGTAGAGCCGAGGCTCCTCCTCCCTGCTGCAGAGGATTTAGTTCCGCCATTTTCCACACCATGCGGCTCGTGGCTTGCAGCAACTTAGCAGCGCAGGTGTCGGCACACGAGGCCTCTTCCTCGCTCAGACGGCGCTGGCCCAGGTCTTGCACACAGGAGGTGAAGCAGACTTCAGTCAGTTCGTTGTAGACCGTTGCGTACTGGCGGAAGTTGCTCAGCATCGCCTTTCTCTGTTCCTCCACGTTCATAGCGAGCCTTCTCCAATAAATGCCCACCTCGTTAAAAATTGTAAGTGGAAAAAACTCAACCCAATTTTCATCATTGACCATCTTCCACCATGATTGAGGCACACGTAAATAAATAGACAACTAAACATTGTACAAAAACACTAACATGAGACGTACAGACACAAAGGTGAAAAAACAGTCGTAGTGCAGCTACATTACCCTAAAAGAGAGAGAACTAAAGAGATACATATCGGCAGTTTGCCTGCCACCACTCAAGCCTTATTAGACCCAAAGAACTTGTTCTTGGTAGGAGGCGGAGGACGAGGAGGGGCCTTCGATTGAAGGAACTTGAAGGGCGTCGGCTCAACTCGGACCCTGTAGAACTCCCCCTTTATATCTGGGAACTCCGTTGCCATCTCGCGGTCCTCCTGTGGAGGGGGTGGGCGTGGCTTAAACCTGACCACACCCACACAAATTAGAGCTCACCTCAAACCGGAATGCTCTGGGTCTTTCAGTGAGTCTGGCTACTATCAGTTCAGGTCTGTGGGGACACAGAGACATCACTATTCCAGATGAATGCAACACATTTTGGAAGACATTTTTGGCATAATGTGAATGCAACATGGCACATAAGTGTGAAATTTCAGCTGCACATTCAGAATTATTGTGATATGCTTCGTGTGTTCTAGATAATATCATGATAATATCATGCAATTCAGATGGCTAGGTATAGTGCTTCACTTGCTGGTGTAGGAAGAGATGAAGAAAGAGGGTGTATGTAGGTGAAGGAAAAGAGTAAGGGGAGAGAGAGAGAGAGAGTATGTACATTCTTCCAGGCCGGATCCCAAAGGAGCTGTAGCTGGTGGTATCCATGAAGATATATGGACAAGGTTTCTCAGTATGGAGGATGATGGGGATGGTGGTCTTGGACTTGGGGAGTCTTATGGGGTTGAAGAGGGCAAGGTCTCCCTGGATGTACCTGGAGGGGAGACAGGGCTCTGGGTGTCTGAGGCCTGGGGAGGCAGGAGGTACACTTACTCTCTGGGTCTGGCGATCTTGACAAACGCCCTCTCTCCACTCACACTGTTCTCCATTGCTGCATTCATAAACACAGGTATATACATATCACTGTAAATGGAAACTCTGAAAAGGGACCCTCAAAATAAGTCTATGAAGGACACTTGGATCTGCCCCTACCACTGAATGGGGAACACCTTAGAATAAAGGAAACATTGTTGTCTCTTACTCAAAGTACTCACCAAGGGACTGTCCGAGATCCTTCAGACCATCCTTCAGAGCACCCATCAGCTGCGAGGCGTGAGGAAGGAGCAGCTCAATGTTGTCAGGGGAGGCAAGTCCGGAGAGGGCTCCCTCGGAGTTCTGTCTATCGGGACTGCTGGCCATGGTGATGATGGAATACTCTGTCAGGTCCGGGCTGCCTCCCCCTGCCCCCAGGGGAGGGTACAGTCCAGGGCTGTGCGGAGCCTTCCGACTGGAGGGAGATGTCTGTGATCTGCTCCGATCAACTGGCGTCCCTGGTCTAGGAAGACAGACAGAGAGATCAGTGTGTGTATATTATACAGGGACTAAGACAGAGGATATGTTGTAATACGTCACTGAAGGCCATTGGTCTATCGACCTATGTACTTTGTACTCACTGTGTTGTGTGTGTCATGTGCTATGTTCTCTAAACCTATCGTTTGTATCACACCTCGTGGTAAACCATTAAGTCCCAGGAGAGTGTGCTCCACCCACCAAGTGCCCACCTGATTCGGTCAGCGATAGTACAGAAAGACTTGAGCTGCTCTCTAAGACCCTCCAGTAGCTTGTGGTCCTCTGAACTCAGTGAGGCTCGCAGAGAGCGGTCCTCACCGGGGCCTGCGGTCGGAGTGAGGGTGGTCCCCGGTCCCAGTGTCTTCTCCTCCTCACACAAACTGCTTCCAGCCCTATTCCTCTGCTGACCCAACTGTGGTGGTGGGCTTTAATTAGAGACACACCTTTACCAAGAGACCTATACGTACCATTTCTTTGAGGTGTTCGACTGACTTGGACAATTGCCCACATTCCTCGGCCTTGGACTGGAAAAGAGCCTCGTAGAAATCTCTATCTTCTCTGAGTTCAGCAATGGCTTTAGGGTCACCAGCAGCAGCTGCAACCTGTGAATGTGTAGTTTGTTCAGTTTACATGTATAGAGATGGACATGCCGCCTAATAGAGACGAGCTGTTTGACATACCTGAGGTTGTGGTGTTTGTGGAGAGGGGCGAGACGGGGAGTTTGGGGAGGGTTGATAGGGGATGGAGGGAGGAGGGTGTGGCCAGCCAGGAGGCGTGACCAGAACAGGAGGAACACTGCTGGGAGTGGATGGAGACAAGAGTGGAACATCTCTGGAGGTCACGGAGGTCACAAGAGTAGCTCTGACAGGAGGCAGCTGTTTGGTGAGGAGCTCCTCTGACTGCTGACACAGCTGTGGGGAGAGTGTGAGTGTGTGAGGTGGGGGAGAGGGAGAACAAGACTGAGGAGTTGCACCTGAGACAGTTGCTGGCTCTGTCTCGCCATATCCCAAGTCTTGGTGATGCTGGTATAGAGTTGGATGAGGGTGTTGCGAGTGGCGACCCCCGTTTGTTTAGCCATGTTCTCGCACCTCCTGAGAATGTCTTGACATCGTCCAAACATCTCCACTTTCTGAAACCACACACACACACCAGGTGAGGGAGGCCTGAGGAGTAGGTACAGTTCGACTCACTCTCAGCTCAGGCAGTAGTTTGGCAGTCTTTGTCAGGTCAGCTGTCATGCTCTCAATGGAACTGGCTCCCTCTCTGCTCTCAGTGGGCAGAACACTCAACTGCTGCTCGCTGGCCTCGTACAGTGTGTCCAGGTCCTTCACCAGACTCTCCACCTGTAACAGCAGTCATATCGCCACACCACCACCAGCTGGGTACACAGCCTCACCTCATTCTCCAACTGTCTCATTCTCTGAACCAGTCGCTGAGCCTCCTCAGTAGAGGTGGACGCAAGATCATTGGCCAGCCTGAAAAGCAAAATCTTTCATCTCTTCATCTTTCTCCCCCTCTAAGAGAACTCACAGCTCAGCAGCCAGAGAGAGTTTGGCAGCAGTCTTGACTCCTCTCCTGGCCAGCTGCTGGTAGCCTCCTCGTCTCTTGAAGTTCTGCAGTTCCGCATAACAGAATTTCCTGCGATGTGGGGAGTGTATTGAAGAGAGAGAGAGGAGAATGGTATATAGGAAACTGCTGAGCTGAAGTTTTCACAGTTTCTCAGCCAATAGCCAACGTTTTCTTCTAAATTATTACTAGATACAGTCAACATACAATCCACGAAAGATTCCTACTCAAAAACCCGTTTTAACTCCCTCAACTCTGTACTAATATCTGTCTCACCTGAACTCCCTGACCCCACTCTCCTGCCTCAGCTGCTGGCTCCTCAGAGAACTGATCTCATGAACTATCTCTTTGGACAACTTGTGCTAGTGTGTTGAAACAAACATGTCATGTGAGATCATGTGATCCTGATGATGTCATACTTACATCAGTGATTTGCTCCACACATCTCTGCTGGTCACTGACGGCAAATTCTGAAAAAAAAATGATGACATCATTGGAAATAGTTGTCATGGTAACTAACTCAGCTGGGTGAGGCAGGAGAGGTTGAAAGGTTGGCTGCTCTCCAGGTGACCAGTGGGGAGAAGATAGAGCACTCCGTTCCCGCGAGATGCACCGCACTGCTCCATGAGCTCAGAGAACTGGGCCGGAGAGAGGGCAGAGTGCGGGGAGAGGTAGAGGAGACTGGCGGAGGAGAACAGTAGCTGATGGGTCTCCTTGACCCCCAGTTGAGTGTGTACTTCATTCCTCAACTGCTCCATACTGATAGAGACAGGAAGGAGAGTTTGAGAGGAGGAGATAGGGGGAAGAGAGAGAGAGAGAGAAGACCTCACGTCATTCCACTGTCGTAAAGGATCTTCCCGGATGTCCCAGTGAGGAGATTCACCACCTCAATCTTTGAGGTCACCAGGTCGTCCACAAACTCAAAGAAGTCGGGGAAGCTCATCCTCTCCTGAGGGTCCAGTTTCAGGAGACTCTTCAGGAGAGCGTTCATCTTTGCTCTGTAGCCACCGGAGAATCTGTCGTAGACTGAAGGTGGCAGCTCCTGAATGTAGATTACTTTACTGCTGAGTCTCTCAAAGGCAATTGCATCTTTCTTGTGTTTGAGGATTTTTGGAATGTCTTGGAGTTGCTGAGAGAGAGAGAGAAAGGGTGAGCTCCTGTAATTAGTTGACTAATTGAGAACTCACTGCGTAAAAGCCGCACTGTCCAACTATGACCTTGTACAGTAGAGCACCGATGCTCCAAATGTCCACCTTGTCGTCATAATGCTGAGAGAGAAGAGGGAGGGGTTAAAGAGGAAGGGTGGGGAGAAAGATAGAACTGACCTCTCCAGGGTAGAAGACACATCTCAGAGCCTCAGGAGCCTGCAGGGAACAAGGACACACTAGTGAGTAGGTGTCTTCAGGAGAGCTGGCCATATTACTGAGGCACCAAGACACATGCACGAGAAGAGAGAATGGAACAAACTAGGGAAGCTGTAAGTGGCACATGTGACCAGACAAACACATGTGACCATGACAAACACACAGGGGGAATCCTAGCTACTGAAGACACTATTCATAACAACATTATGCATGCATACCCAAAGCACACACTGCACTGTCACTTTCCAACAGCTCAAATATGGGAATAAACAGTATTCATTTCCTCCTAAGGGCAAGTCGACACAGTAGTAAAACAACACCAAATACTCATCTCCTTCCTTATTTCTCCCCTGCCTCACCATGAACACAGGAGTGCCTGCGAGGGAATGCATATCAATCGGCTTTTTCGTCCCTTCTTCAGTGAAGTGTCGAGCAAACCCAAAGTCTGCCAGTTTGATCTACAAACAGACACACCATAACTAACACACACACACAGTTTTCCTTCCTCTATCTTTACCTTAATCTTCCCAGTGACCTGGTCTTTCTTGATGAGAATGTTGCCGGGTTTTAGGTCTCTGTGAACAATGTTCTGCTCTCTTAGTGCCTTCATACCCTTGCCTGAGGAGGAGAGAAGGTGAGGGGAGAGGGTGTGGAGCGTGCAGACAGGAGCTGGTACTGACTCAGTTGGAAGAGAAAGAGAGTGATGTCATCCTCTCTGAAGGGAGACACCTTCACGAGGTGGTCAAGGTCGTAGTCACACAGCTCCATCACCAGCACAATGTGCTGCTTCAAGTCCTGCACACAAACATGAGAGTCAGTGGGTGTGTCTACAATGGACCCAGACCACACAAGGAGTCAGGCTTTACACAGGGGACATGGGGAAAAGGTCGCCATCATAGCTCAACAATCTTCAACCCTCCACTGACAGTCTATTCACTCACCTGCACATGCTCCAGCCGTACAACGTACTCGCAGTTCTTGAGCAGTTTCATGATACGGATCTCCCTCTCGAGGTTTTCCTTGACCTTGGGGTCCTGCTTGAAATAGCTCTTGCTGACGGCCTTCACGGCGACCTCCTGTCTCCCGTCCTACGGCCAAGCAAGGCAGACAGCGACTAACTGACACTGTATCTTCCTCCTGGGAACGGGGAGACCGCGGCTCTCACCTGCGACCAGCCCATGTAGACCTCCCCGAAAGAGCCTTTCCCAATGCGTGTCCCCAGGTGCCAGGTGTAGCCAGCACAGCGAGCCATGTCGCTGGGGTAGAGCCGCTGCACTTCTTGCAACGTCGGGCGTTTCCGAGCCATGATCTGTGCTTTCCAAACCACTGCAAACTAAATTGGCTCGATCGTTTTTCCTCTCCCCCAGGGAAAAATTTGCACCATCAACTGATCGAAGAAGCGGCGCACAGTCGCGCGGTGTACGTACATATGTAAAAAGCGGGCCGGCCGGTCAGTAATAACTACTCTAAGCACGTGATAGATTACGTCACGCGGGCGGCGCTTCGTTCAATCTTGGTCTGAGTGTAATACACTATCTTGTATATGTAAAGGAAGAAATAATGTATATACAAAGAAACACATAGCATCATAAATCAAAACATACAATATGCCACACACCACACACACACGCACGTCATGTCAGGATAGACTGTATAAAACTCACCAGAGTAGTATATACATGCTAGCTACACATGTAAGTCACTACCATACACACGTAATGAGTAGCACATACAGTCCTGGGACATGGCATACGGTAGCCAGTCTGTGCATGATGTGGCAACAAACAACATCTTAAACAAAATATGTCCATTCTGCAGAGCTACATTGTGACCTATTGAGGAGAGCGAGAGAGAGGGAGGGAGGGGTGGGGGCAGACGAGGAGCTAGCGACACTCCCAGATCTTGAGAGTTTGATCTACACTGCCCGTCACCACATACGGTGCTGACTTGTGGAAGTCTGCAGAAGTAAATTAATAGAGTGAAGGAAATGAATAAGAGTCGTAATGTACCTATTGAGGTGGCGAAGTGTGCGTGGGCCTCTAGCGTTTTCTGGCACCTCCTGTTCTTGTAGTCCCAGACACGAATGGTCTTGTCATCTGAGCAACTTAGGATTACCTTCCCACCACCCTGGATGGAACTGCAGCCCTCTCACCCAATTATCATGACCCGACTGATGATCATGGGGGGAGAGAGACACAGGATACATTACAGAAGGCGTATGATGTAACATGGTAGGAGTAAACAAATGAATCCCCATAACTAATGTACATACACATAAAACACAATACAGTGAATGTCATTGTGCAGGCCACCTGCCAGTCACAACACCCCATACAGACAAGAGAATAAAGAGTTTCTGTGGCAGGAAATGGTGGTTCTAAATAGAGAGCACCACGTACCAGGGTGAAGAGACAGGCTCCTGTGAGGGCGTCCCATAGTCGGATGGTCTTGTCTCTTGAGCCAGAGATGATGAATGGACCTGGAGCTGGGCCTCCTTTCTTTGACTGACATTCACACACACACACACACAGAGAGAGAGCAATGGAGAGGGTGGAATAAAGTGTGTGGCAGTGTAAATCACATGATGTTTCCTAATGCCACTTGACAGGAACAGACATCAGCTTACAAAGCAACTGACTGGAACTATGACTAAAGCTGGGTTTGGTAAAATTCACCAACTGGACTGGAACTATCACTTGGTCACTAGCACAGAGTTTGGCCAATGTGTCCTAACCTCTATTCCGCAGGTCTCCGTGATGTGTGGTAAGGCCACATCAGGAGCCCATGCAATGCACTCCACCACATGCTCATGGCCACGCAGTTCAGCTTTACACTCCTTAGTTGACGCCACCCACACACGTATCGTCTGTAGCATGTAGATAGAGAGAGAGAGACACACTCAAGATGGGAGAGAGAGTGGGAGCATGGTGTCACATATTGTATGGAGGGAGTAGGCACAACACGTTTACATTTCTTATTTTATGAACCGCCAATTATTGGTAGGCAAGGTGATGTACAAGGAATTCTCCATAGAACTTTAATTCTAGTGTATTACTGGAGCAGAAAAGCTTCTAAATTATGGCACCTACCTGATCATTGGAGCAGCTGGCCAACAGCGAGCCTGTCAGAGATAAGAGAGAGAGAGAAATGAGAGACTTAGTGTGTGAGTTGAGAGAGTAACTGACCATCTGGACTGACTTTAACAGTCCGAACCCACTCTCTGTGTCCAGTGTACGTCTTGACACAGTACCTATGTACAATGCACAGACACACACACCGACAAATTGTACATCAGACTGTGAGGAGAGATAGAGACTCCTACCCTGTAGAGACCTCCCACATCTTGAGGGTCTTGTCGCGAGACGAGGACACGAGGAAGTCCCCCGAAGGCATGAAGGCAACACTAGACACATTGTGGTCGTGACCTTGCAGCGTTCTGATGCACTCGTAGGTCGTGAAGTCCCACAGTCGAATTGACATGTCTGCTGAACACGACGCTGCAGAGGAGGAGAGGAGAGGAGAGGGAAATGGATCGGGTTTAGTGTAGCACAGCACAACTCACCGAGAACTTTCCCCGTGTGATCAAATGCTATGTCTTGGACTGAATCTGTGTGTCCCTTTATTGTCCTCTCGAAATCTCCAGTCTCATAGTCCCATACCTACACACACATACACACACATGACATTAGTCACCAGCAGACACACTTCCTTACCTTGATAGTAGCATCTTCTGAACAAGACAACACTAGACTGCAGGTGCGTGGTAAGTAAAAAAACATCAAACTAGTATGTGGGTGAAGTGGTTGCATGCCTGTATGTGGGGTGAAAGGTGACGTTGGTGATGGGAGCTCGGTGCCCAGCCAGCTCAAATCTCTCAGGAGGTCTGGGAATCCAGTCAGTTGCCAGTCGAGTCTTCCTGGTGGCCCCTCCCTCCACCACCTCCTTCTGCACCTCCAGCAGCTTCGCCTCAAGGTCCATTATCTGGTGTCACAACACACACACCGTATTCCCCAGTGTACAAGTCAGCATTTTTAACGATGAAAAATGCTTGAAAATCTCATCATGCGACTTATCCTCCAAAAGTGGGTGGTGCCTGATGTTGCGTATATAAACATCTCCATGTATAATACACAGGTGCTAGTAACACAAAAGTTGCAGATGTAGAGCTACTAAAGTTGTTTAATTTTCCGAAAAGGTAAGATCACTTTAGGCACTTACTTTTCTCTGGAGTCGAATGACAGTTGTCCACTTCTTCTCCAAGAGTCCGTTGTATTTTGACATTGTACCTAGCTCCTTCTGCAGGGAGGTAAGGCGACTAGTGACAGAGAAAGATCCCCCATTACAATAGAAAGAAACATAAAAAATTCAGTCCAGCAAACCAAATATACAGCTGACTCACTACTTTACTCACAGTGTCCAGTTCTCTGCGGAAACTGTCGAGAGTTTCTCCATATCCCTGTGACTGGAGGTAGTCAGCTATTGCATAGTTCCTGCACAGACAACACACACGGTGGATGTCAGGATATTGCACCTTCAACTCTACAGAGCCACATACACACAAACAGTACTGTGCATTGGGAAGCCTTGCGTGTGTGTGCCCTGCCCAGTGATGCAATGGGTGATGTAATGCAATTACAATCTTGGCATCTGTTCCTTGGTCAGCAGCAGGGAGCCTGCCACTGCACCTCACACAATGTCCAGAGAGAGGGAGATGTGTCACTAGTCTGGATCGATATATATACTAAGACCGAATACAGCTTCCCTGACACACAAGCTGACAAGCTCTTATTGCATACTCCCCTCTCTAAACCCTGTCAGTATAGCTGGAGTCACGTCCCCACACTCACAGCTCTTCTCTCTGTTTGTGTGAGAGCACCATTCTGTCTCCTCTGTCCCCTGGCCTGCACCGCGAGACCTACACACACCGGAAAGAGAGAGTCACACCCATATGATACTCTAAACAAAGCACACCACGACCTGTGTACCCTACAAGGCTGCAGGAAGACAAGAGCCACTCACCTGCTTGTCTTATACCATGCGCGGGTCCGCCCAGACTCACGGCTGCTCTCACAACTGGCGCCGTCTCTTTCCAAGTAACTCTAGGCTTTTCTTAGGGGCGGTACGGCCCTATCAGCCCACCTACCCTACCAACGTACTAAGTACAGCTAAAAACAGTCAAACAAGTGCCAGTGAATCTCTCTCCGGTGGACTCAGACGCTCAATGTTGCCGCTTCAAAGTGAAAAGAGGTCAGCCATCTTACGCGCTCATGTGATCCCATAGGGTCATTAGTTGCCGGAGTGCGCATGCGCACAACTAGCATGGCGTCTGAAGCAGAGCAGGTGAAGCTGTCACCGTGCGAGTACAGAGCCTTGAAAGAGTGTCTGGACAAGAACCAGGGGAACAGAGAAAAGTGTGAGAAGGAGTGGCAAGAGTTTCAAAACGCGTGTGCCCACAACAAAAGGTGGGGAGTCTAGTTCTGTGACAAATGAATTACACAGTGGATGATCATATTTTCAGACTTGCAGCTGAGGGTAACCTTTCACCTCCAGCAAAATGAGACGAGCTGTGAGACTGACAGCATGGCCGGCAGCTAGAGCCACGAGGCCTAACAAGGTTCACAACACCTTTAGCCCCACCCCCTCATCAAGACCAAGCTCCGCCCACCTCTCTATGTCTTCCCTGGCCCCCGGCAGCCTGTACCGGAAAACTGTGGACTACTTCAACAGCTATCCTTTCGTCAAATACTCTCTCCTGCTGTGTGGGGTTGTGTTGGGAGGTAGTCTGGCGTTTGAGAGCTACAGCAAACACAAGAAGAAGCTGCTGCCCCAGATTCTCTCTCTCCCTCCTCGCGTCGCCCACCGCACACAGCCGAGACCCGGGGAGCTGAGGAGACTGCGGGAGGTGTGGAGGGATACGAGGGGGAGGGGGGAGGGCGTGGTCTACGTTGTCGGTCCTCCGGGCAGCGGGAAGACGGAGCTGGTGTGTCAGTACGGTCAGCAGTTTATTCAACAGACCATCAATCTCATGTATCGCTTCAGAATCTGCAAGCCAGCCGTGCTGTGCCTCGATGGTAGCTCTGGGACTCAGCTCAAACTTAGTTTACAAGAGGCAGCCACGTGTTTGGGGATCAGCGAGGTGGACACCCGGCCAGTGGGAGGTGAGGAGGGACAGGATGTGCTGGTGTTGGCTAAAGCTGTGGAGACTAAGCTGAGAGCCAATGGTGTTCCGTGGCTGATCGTTGTCGACAACCTCACCCAGGAGACGTGGCCTGTGTTTGGGTCTGTGTTCCATTCCAGAGACCTCGTCAACTGGGACTGGAGAGTGGGTCATGTGATAGTCACATGTCGTCAGCCACCGCCTGAAGTGGGTGGGGCTGTCCTTCCCATCTCTGACAGGTGTGATAATTTAGCTATTTCTGGTTTGTCTTGAAGGTGTTTTTTTGGTTTGCATGTACATTTCAGCTGACAGTTTGGTTGATATCATTTCTCCTCTCTCACTCTGTCTGTCTACAGTCTGGAGAAGGATGAAGGTCTGGCTCTGTTGCAGTCTCTGAGTCCCTCCACCCGTTTCTCGTCTGCCGACTCTGCCATACTCTCTCATCTGTTGGCCTCTTCTCCTCTCAACCTCTCCCTCGCAGCCTCCACTGTCAACATCTACTCAGCCAGTATGGAGCGCGAGGGGAGCCCACGGAGCACTTCAGCCCTGGAGGAATACCTCGATATACTGGCAGAACAGGTTTCAACCTCGTCCGACCGGTTTCCTCCATCGCCAAACCCGATGACTCGGACTTGTCTCAAGCTCTACGTTGAAGCTGCGGCCACAGATCCTCGAGCCCTGCACACCTTTGATCTTCTGGGAAGCCTGTCACCCTCTCACCCTGTCCCAGCTAGTCTGCTGGATCACCACCTCTCCTCCTCTTCCTCCTCGTCTTTCTATCGTCTACCTCCTCTGGCTCCACCGGTCCTCCCAACTCTGCCTCAGCCCCAAGACACCTCATTCTGGGCCCAGCTGAAGATGTTACTCCCGTTTGGACACAAGGCTCCCCCTCCCTCCTCTCCTCTGGCGAGTTTCGATAGACTCCATCACCTGCGGGACTCCCCCATCCTCTCCTTCAAGAAATACTCCAGCGAAGGTTTCGAGTTGGTTCAGCTACACCCACTTGCCAGGGAAGAGCTCTCTCGCCAGCTTCTCAACAGAACAGTTCCCCGGCTGGAGAGAGCTCATTTGGAGGAGGCACGGGAGGTGTTTCGAAACACGGCGTGGTTCAGAAACTACCGGACATTTGACGAGACGGGAGCTCTGGTCCAGTACCACAGGACAATGCCTGGGGTGGGCGGGGCTGGTGTAATGACGAGGGAGGAGTTTCAGTCATCTCCAATGGCAACGGACCTCCAGTACTCTGACTACCTCCACACAGTCTCCCACAATCATCGGGTCAGCTCCTCAATCATCTCCCAATTGAAGATTTTGGACGACGGGTTTGCCTCCTTGCAGTTCTGTCGCTATGTCGAACCCCACCTTAGTCACCTTCTCAGCCAGCCGTCTCTCTCAGACAGTGACCGTGTCATGTGCCAATACGGACTAGCCTCAGTTGCATCAGTCTTGTCTGCGCCTCGAGCTAGAACTCTCTACCAATCAGTTCTGGAGGACCAGAGGAGAGTGCTGGGAGTGAACCACCCTGCAGTCGCGAGGACTCTGACTGACATGGCTGGTCTCGTATTCGCCGGAGAAGATGTCGAAGGAGCGCAGGACTTATTGGAGACCACTCTCAAGATATACTCCTCCCTCCAGCTCAAGTCGCTCAGCTCTGAGGTTAAGATTGACCAAGCCCTGGCCCTCGCCTCTCTGGCGGTGGTGGTGAGCTGTCGAGGGGAGAAGCGGAGGAGCCGGAATCTCCTTGAGGAAGCTCTGAGTCTCTATCAGACCATGCCGGAGTCCGGAGAGGTGACTGTGTATCAGCGGAGACTTGTGGCGTCCACACTGACCGACCTGAGCCAGGCCTACCTGGGTCTCGGGCAGATTGTGTTGGCTCTCAAGTACGTGGAGCTGGCGATGCTGGCAATGCCCAACGTGTACCCGGAGGGAAACAGTGAGACTGTGCGAGCCCTGACTGTGGCTGGAGCTGTGTATGCTCTCTTGGGGGACAAGAGAGAGAGCCAGAGAGTGGGTCAAGAGGCTGGGAAGGAGAAGGCTCGACTGGAAAAACAGCATCTCGTTTTCATGTAGCAGCACCGTTGTACTTATTCCAAATGGAGCGCACCATAACAAATTCCAATACGTGCGCACTGCGCACCAAGGATCGCGAAAAAATGTCTGCAAATCCGAGCATGGATATAGACGCTGGAAAAGACGGGCTCTGGCGCCTGGCTATAGTAATCGATGGCGATCAGCTTGAGCACCGCTTCGAGAACCTCAACTCGAGTCCCATGCGGCTGCTGGCTTGGTTCTCACCGCCCTCTCCTCCCGCTCGACTGGGGGAAGAAACTGCACTCGCAATGGCCAAAATCTCTCTCCTGGACACGTTCGACAACGTCCACGAGTACCAGACAAAGAAAGGAGTCCCGCTGCGAGCTGCCAGCACCGATCGCTGCCGCTACCCGCACGTTACGCTCGCCTCCTACCGCTGCATGGAAGACGAGGCCAGGGAGACGGTGCTAATGAACCTCCCGGACTGCCAATCGGTGGAGCGTCACACGGGTCTCCCTCGACCCACCTCTCCCACCATCCTGGTCTCCTCCCCGGCGTTCCTAGCGAGCCAGGGGTACTTTCATCTGGAACTGGTCTGGGTCCAGATCACGTGGCCTCTCTGTCTGCAGAGAGTGCTGGTATCAGGAGGGTCTGGGGGGACTGTAGCCCTCACCCCCGCCGTCCTGGGAGAGGTAATGCAGCAGCTGTCTGAACTACTGGGGAAAGAGAAGGTGGTTCTGAGGCAGGGGGCGACGTTCTCTCTCACGGGGAAGTTCCCCCGAGATGGGGAAGAGGAGAGGAGGCACGGAATGGTTCAGTTGAGGGTGCTGGAGGCGAGTCCAGTGCTGCAGGGACAGCTGACGAGGGAGACAGAGGTGGTTGTGGTGCCTCAAGTGGAGGGAGAGATGACTGTCGGCTCGCTGGGTTCGTCTGGGAAAAGTCTGTCTCTCTCTAACCTCCCCTTCCCCACAGGAGAGAGTTCAGCTCTGGTGGAGAGCGCGGAGACACGATCGTTCACCGCCTCAAACTGCTCCGCCTCCGACTTCCGCAATGATGACGAGGAGGAGGCGGAGTCGACCTCTGACCCCAGCCTGGAGCTGCTGACCCACCCTGACCTGAAGCTGCACAGGAACTATGTGCTGGTTCCGCGGCGGTTTGCCCGGGATTACGAACTGCTGCAGTACCAGATGGTTGTTCTGGAGCCACTAGGGCAGCCGCAGGGACTCGGGGGGCTGGCAGATATGGTCATATCCACCCACTCACATGGAGAAGAAGCTGCCGGGAGCCACAGCGCCATCTTGATGTGGTACGATGGACAGGCAGAACTGGAGCGCTACCTCCCACCACCGTATCCTGGGTTTACCTTCAGCGAGGCAGTTCTGGACTCTGCGTTTGTCCATCCTCACCTCATGTATTCCCTGTTCCACGAGACTCTGTCTCCCTCTCGTCGGTACAATGTCACCATGAAGGTGGGGGTACCTTTTAACCCTTTTCTCACTTTATTTTTATTGTCTCTTCTTACAGACTGGGAAAGGGAAGAAAGATGGTACGTTAGAACATTGTATTGTGTGCATGACATATACCATTACAGTGGGAGAGGTTAACCTGTAGGGAAAATGTAGTTCTCTGGATTGCTTGTCCAGCTACAAATGCTCTCAAAAGAGGAATGCATCGCAATTTGGTTTCTCACACTATCAATAATTACAGGAGCCCTGCCTGACCTCCCCAAGGCAAAGGTGGTAACCATGGCGCAGATGGGAGTGGTCAGAGCCCAGCAGGAGCTGAACAAGGACGAGACGAGAGAAGCTCTCAAATCATTCTTCCAACAGAGGACCCAGTGAGACTGCCTCGATCCTCGTGCTGGTTACTATAGACCATGTCATCTCTCTCTCTCCCAGTCTGCTGATGACAGGAGACATCTTCAGTGTCGATATTGAGGGGGCAGGTACAGTTACACAGAACTTACACCTCTCAGTAATATAAAGACACATTGTGAACGTTGAAAGTGTCCTTTATTAAGAGGTGTCCTCTCTTTCTTTGTTTCTGTTATTTCTGCAGGCTCAGTGTTCTACAGACTGATGGAAACCGATCCTCCAAACAGTCAGAGATGTGACTCTTCTTGTCTCAGGGAAATCTCCTGGCCTGTCAGTCCGTTTACTCCCTCTCACTAACTGTAATTCAAACTCCACCACCAACACTTTACTCTCCACTTCAGCTGAAGAGATTGGTGCATTTACCCTCTCCCATCTGAGTGCCCCCCATGCCCCCTCCTCCCCCCACCTCTGTACTTCTCTCGTCTGCTGCCCCCTGGACTGGAGGCTCCCTGTCTCTCTCTCTTCTCCCTCCTCCTCCCCCTCCTCTACACCCACCCCTCTCTCAGGCCATCTCGTACACCTGTCATCCTCCTTACTGGTAACACACACCTTCCTCTCCCTCCTCGTTGCTCAAGAACACACACTCTCTCTCTCTCTCTCTCTCTCAGGACCAGGTGGTGTTGGTAAGACGACAGTTGTCAGAGCTGTTGCCAGGAGAACCAGAGCTCATCTACTGGAGGTACATATATAAAGAAATTGGTAGCTATGATTCATTCACTCCTATATACCGTCTCCGTCAGCTCAACTGTTACCAGTACTGCAGTGAACCAGTGGCCACTGCTGAGAAGAGGTTCATGGCTGACTCTGCCAGGGGTGAGTCAATCCACACTTCTCTTTACACTGTGGAACCTCTGAATATGGGGCACCTTCGAGACATTTATTATTCAGAGACGCCCCCCACTCTGGCGGTAATAATTGTAAGGGGCGGCAGTGTCCTTTATAGAGATGTGACTTTATTTGATAACCCTGTATCTTTATCAAAGACTGAGTTTACAATCACCCCTCCATCTGTCTCCTCCCTGTGCTGTATATATAGCTCTGGAGTGTGCTCCATGTCTGGTGCTGTTCAGAAACATCCACATGGTCGGCAGGGATGCCAAGAAAGATGGTATCGTTCCCACTGGTGGTGGTGGGTGTGGTTTGACCTCTGACCCCCACAGAACCACGACTTGCGGCAGCATTTCTCTCCCTCATGTCGTACATCAGTCAGCATAACAAGAAGTCTGCAGTGTAAGCAATCTACCTAACCAGAGACACATAATGTACACCAGGAAAATTGTATTTCAGGGACTTCCCCATAATGGTCGTGGCGACTGCTCCAAAACAAGCGGCAATCCCTGCCCAGGTTGCCATGGAGATGTTACACGTGGTGGAGATGGCCACGCCCACAGAGACCCAGCGTCTGGTGATGCTGCGAGGACTGGCTAGGGACTACCTCACCTCACCATCTGTTCCCTGGACCCAACTAGCCAGATTGACTGCCGTGAGCTCTAACTATCACATTTCTAACACCCAGTATACTGACTGAGCATCTCTAATATAATATGTAGTTATCTGACATGCAGATGTCTCTGAAATGCTGATTCTCTCTGCACACAGGGGTTTGTACTGGGAGACGTTGTGTCTCTGCTCTCCAGAGCCAGCAACTTTGCTACCACCGCTGCCTTTGACCAGTTGTCAGTCTTCCCCCTCCCTCTCTCTTCTCTCTTCCTTCACCATCCTCTCTGTCGCTGTCTCTGTGAGTCTAGTCTATACCTCTCTTCTCCCGCCTGCAGTGGTCCGAGGGCAGAACTGGAGATGGCAGGAGGATGGCAGTATCCCAGTCTCATCTCCTGGTGGCCCTCGGCAAGCTCAATGCAGCTCACTCCGATGCCATCGGAGCTCCAAAAGTGGGCCAGACTAATTCCCCCAGTCCTTCATTCATCGATTCTTTTGTTATCTTCCATTCCTCTCCTCTTATTCCTCCATTCCCCCAATTCCCAGATCCCAGATGTTCGCTGGGAGGATGTTGGGGGGCTGGCTGAGGCAAAACAAGAGGTCCTGGATGCCATCCAGCTGCCTCTGGCGCACCCTGACCTCTTCAGCCAGGGTCTGCGGAGGTCAGGAGTTCTTCTCTATGGGCCCCCGGGGACAGGGAAAACCCTGCTCGCTAAGGCTGTTGCCACCGAATGTGGCGTTCATTTCATGAGGTACAATATATAACACAGTGAAAGGACCCTTGTTCCTGTACTGCATCTGACTATAAGTCAACGTAGTAAGAGAGTACGGTGCTGAGTGAGCCATGTTTGTGCAGTGTCGACGCCGGCGCTGATACAATATCGTACGTCGGACAAACTGAGGAGAACGTCCGCAAGAGCTGCGGCGCGGCGAGAGGTGCGCCCCTGCATCATCTTCTTTGACGAACTTGACTCCATCGCTCCGAGCAGGGGAAAGACCGGAGACGCCAGTGGTGTAATGGACAGGTGGGCGGAGCCTGCAGCACTATGACATCACTATGATGTAAGTGGTACCACAGGGTGGTGTCTCAGCTATGGACGAGATGTACGGGCTGTGCAAAGAAGTGTCTGTATAGGTGTAGGAGCAACCAACAGAGTAGACCTGCTGGACTCTGCCTTACTGCGGCCAGGGAGGTTCGGACAGATGTTAAACTGGGAAATTAGCGATGA